GGGGGGAGGGGTGGTCCAGATGTTCCATTTCTTTTGTCCAAGATTGTAGCCTGATAAAGGACGGAGGCTCTGTCACTTTACCTCTGACCTGGGAATGTTGGCAAAGTGACCTATATTCTGGTAGTTATTTGCGTTGTGATTTGTATTGAAGTTATGAAGAATTCTTCCATAGTACTGGTACTTACAGACAATATCTTTTCACATAGGGTTGTACTATGACAGCATACAAAACGACATTGGTGCTGAGCGTGCGTTCCTTGAAGCTAACCGCTTAAACGTAGCAACGCCGTCCTCTATGGAGTTGGCAGGCCCAGCTGATACTATACCAGCCGAGGCTGACGGCTCTGTCTCGGAGACTGGTCCCGAGGAACCTGTTAGCGAGGGTGCTCCCGGAACTGGTGTCTCTGAGGACCAGAAATTACCGGAAGTTCATGGTAAGAATGGCTTTTCATTCAGTATAAAAGAGAGGCAAAAAATGCCAGGCCTATCCGATGGATAGTGCTGTCTGATAATACTGTTCCTTTTTTGAGCGATGTAAATTTAATTTCGCCGTATAGCCCTCTGCTTGTCTTCAGTCTGTTGAAAAATCACTTTCAAGAATCAATCGGCAAGGACTAAAGGGAAACAAAAGGCCAACGGGCAATGATCATTTCCTCTGTTTTTCGTTTTCAGTTGACGATGTAGTACGCGAGGAGCCTGTGCCGGGAACTGGTGAAACTTCCGCTGACCCTTCAGCCCCGCCAATCGCAGGCCCGCCCCCGTCAGTTGTGATTAGCTCAGCAACGCCTGTGGGGAATCCTGGACCGAAACCTGTGACCCAGTCCTCCACACACACAGCTTCCAAACAGAGCTCACGTGCTCCGAGCCCCGGTAGTTCCCACCGTCAATCGCCACCTCCTCAGGATACTGAACCTGCGGTACCCGCGGAAGAAAAGCCAGCAGAGGTCAAACCAAATGCTAGTATTTTTTTACAAGCGGCGAATTTCCTTCTGGAAGTGAATGCCCTACAGGTAAAGTGGTGCTGTTTAGGATTGAATGTCAGTTGACAAATAATCATGTGATTGACTAAATGAAGTCGTGCAATACGGATACTAGCAAGCATGTTTTGTCAACCTTGGACAAAACTAACTATGGCTCAAAATGGCTTGTGTTGCGCTCGCGTTTTCCCAGGCTTAGCGTTTTACTCTTTGCAGTTTAATTGGTTATTCAATCTTACGAAGAATACTCCCCCCCTCCCCCCCTAAAATAGAAACAAACAAACAAACAAATATTAAAATAAATAAACCTTCAAAGGACTTTTGATCCACGACCTTTGCGATGCAGCCGCGAAATATAATACTCCATCAACTGAGATTTATACTTTTGTTACTGGGCACTAGTTAACTGACGCGGCTTTGGCACACGAGCTAGTGGCAACTAATGGGGAGCCTGGCGCCGATTATTACGTGCTCCTGGGAAGGTTGAAGATTCAGCAGAAATCGTTCATTGAAGCTGAGGAGAATCTTAAACAAGCGATCGTGTTGAAACACCAGGTAGGGTTATTAGAGTCATTCCCACAAGTAGCTTGCGTTTGAGTTTTTTATGTGTGTGTGCTTTGCATACGCAGTGATTTCTTTGCTCTTAGAGGAAAGTCTGAACATGATCATCTCGGATAAGCTAGCTATTTATTTGTAAGAAAGACTTGGAAGCCCTTTGTAAAACGAAACATTTTCGGAAAACGGAAGCACTTCGTCAGAAATCGTCGAGATTCGGAACATTGTCGGAAATCGGAAACTCGACAATCGGAAGCCCCTGAATCGGAAGCTCGGCATTGAAGGAAAGGCAATCCTTTTATGCCAACATCACAGCCACTAAAAGTTTTAACGTTTAAACAATAACAGCAAAAAGATTTTCGCTTATTTTATAACAGAACCCAGATGCGTGGGGCTTGATGGGACATCTTTATTACTTGACGAGCCGAACCGAGGAAGCCCGGGACTGCTACGAAAGAACGCTGGCCTATACGACGGAAGCCGCAGATATGCATGCTATCTATCTGAGATTGGCTTCGATCTATCTCGAAAAGGGAGAGGTGAGATTATGTAAATTTATTCTTAATAATGTATGACAGTCTATGAGTCAGAACTGAGGCCAAACGCATGCCCTAATTTGGCGGAAGCAATTTTTTTCTGGGTTTTGTAATCTGGAAAGAGTTAGTTGCGATTAAAAGGCTGCGAAAGTTTTAGCCTCCTAGTTGAAATATTTACATAGACTAACCTTGATTTCTAAGATATTAGAGGATTGTGTACCTTGCCAACTGATTCCCAGTTCGTTTGTTTCGCGGGTAGGGTCTCCTAAGACCTGGTTCACACTAGCGACATAGCGGCATAAACAACATAACGACATGATGACGTAACGACAGAATCGCTCATGTCGGTAATGTAGACGTCGACATAAAGACATAAGGTTAGGTGGGGAGAAGACGTTAAAAAATGCAGGAAGAAACACTTGCTATTGTGTTACTATTATGTCATTCTGGCCGCAGGATGTCCACACTGCAAACATAACGACATAAAGACCTTCTTATGTCGTTATGTCGCAAGTGTGAACGAGGCATTAAGCTAGACATTGATATCTTTCTTTTGTTTTTCAACCCAAGATTCTTGTCATTAACCGCGCGCCCTAGGGCGCGCGCGGTTCTTAAACTGAGAAACGCTTCTTGTCGCCTATTTCCAGCGGAAGTGGGAAAAAAATTTAAGACCTGGTTTTTGACCTCCTTGAGTATAATTTTATGACGAACTGGTTGTAAAAAGGCGGTGAAATGTTGTGGGTAATAATAAAATTAGCCGTTGTGGTAAGATGGGTTTTACATTAATTTTTTGGGGCGGGTTAATTCTTTTGTGGATGTAATTTACTTTAAATTTCACCGCGCGGTTTTAAGCTTCCTTATGATACAAGCTTCTTGTATTTTCACTCATTTAGTTTGACAAGGCGAAGACGACCTTCCTTAAAGCCTGTATTCGTTCACCGTCCTGTGTCTCTTGGCTTGGAGCGGGAATTGCTTGTTACAGGGTAAGTGAGTAGTAAAGCTCGTGTCAAGATACAACTTCTCCTTATTTATCTTCATATATTTCTTATAATACATGTTAGGAGAATTTGATCCTCGGGTCAACACGCTTCAAGGTCTTTTCCTTGACTCTCATAACCTGTATACTTCATTTTGCACAGATTTTTGAGGCGAATTTTGATTTTGATCTTTTGTTAGCTGGGAGACTTGGCTGAGGCTGAGGACGCTTTATCTGAGGCGAACATATTAAACAATAAGGACGCGGAGGTGTGGTCATATCTGTCGCTCGTTTGTTTACAGGTAAAGCTTACTTTGTATATTTTAGCCTATAGATTTAAGATTTTTTTGCTAGCCTGAGTACGCCAACGACCCTCACTCTCTGTGCATTAATACCACTTACACCAGACCAGAGATTGAGTGGTATTACACCCGGTATAATCCATATTGATTACTGAGCTCTACAGAAATATTTCTATTTATTATATGGCTAGCTCCATGAGCGGGCAAGATGAACCAAATACTGCGCTGTGATTGGCTACCCGAGCGTGAAAGATGGCACTACCTTGCCCGCCCTGGACTAACCGCTGTGTCCCGCGAGAAAAATTTTCCCGAAAGCCATATAATGATTAACTTTATTGACCAAGCTTATTCGGTCAAGATGGCTGGATATTGGCGTCGTTTTTGTTTTTGTTTTGTTTTGTTTTGTTTTGTTTTTTTTGCGAGTTTATGGACCTCGACTCCATCTCGGTCCATATAAACACGTTTTTGTCCTAATGCTTGGTCAATAACCTATATGTATTTCTGGCCGGTGCTTGTCGCGCACAAAGAATCATGTTGAAAGAAATAGGCACAAAAGGCTTTGTTTCTAAACTGACCTCTGTTGCTAGACCAAGAATATTTTGTCGTTACTACATGTACGTCAACCACAAGACTGACGAATGGTATTTACAAACCAAGCTCACAAATAAATGAACTAAAATGATCGAGATTAGTGCGGACTTGTCTATAACTAACCTGCCAACACAGACGAAGCTGCAGTAAAACAAAAGTGTGCAATTCGTGACTTATTTCATGTCTCTTGTTGTAGACTGGTCGACAGCTGGAGGCAGAACAGTCCTACAAATACGCTCTTAAGGTGGGCATAGTTAATGAGCTCAGTCGTGGTATTTTGAGTTATTTTGGCCACGCACAGAGTTACCTTTAAATTGAAGGAAACCTGGAAATAGTACTTGACAGATAGAAAAACACCAAAGGGATAATGTAAATCATAAAGAAACAAGGATGGTTAAGGATAGAGAAGATTGACACGGATTGCAAACGACGAACTTGAAAAATTTATGCTAAATTTTTTAAGATGCGTAAACTGTGGCGTAGCTCCTTTAGTAGAGGGGAACCGTTATGAAGTCCGGCAGACATCAAACGTCATTGAAGAAAATAGATACAGATTTGTTACGAAAACTTTGTTGAAGAAATCAGTCTGATCTAATTGGATTTCCTTAAGGTGCTAAAGGACGATAAAACAGAGGAATTCAACCAGATTTTACGTGGAGATGGAATTTTTACTTTTTGCCTTTTTTTTCGTCATCTCTTATTAGAAAAGGCTTTCTTTTTTCAGAACAGATACAAATAGCTATGATGATTGTTGTATTGATCCCTCTATTAATTTCACAGTTAAATTTACAAGACGAAAATCTGCTGGCAGAGATTCACCAAACGCAGCAAAGGGTCGGCTTTGGAAATCCTATGGTTGCATAAAGTTTTCTCTAATGAGCGAGACCTGTTCGCCTTTAACTACAATTTCATCTACGTAACATTTCTTTGGGCGTTTCATATAATATATTTTAAATGCACAACCCGTTTGAAACGAATATACATTCAGAGAGTTTTAGTTCCCTTGGTAAAATTGAGCGCATTCTAGAGGATTTTAACAATGTTTGCGCTTTTGTGAAATAGCTTGAAACGTATATGTTGTTTCGTTATTTTCATCGCCGTATTAACTACTAGGTTGTGTAATATATTATGGTGTATGTAAGTTATACAGCGCGTTATTCAGTTTAATAGGTTAGGTCACTTCGTTGGAACTAAAAGTTAAAAAGCGTTCCATCTGCGTTCGGTTTTCGAGCAAGTATTATTTTTTTTTGGCCTGAGCACTTTTTTTGGTGTTACCAATTAGTTTTAAAATCTACTTATCAAGTAATTGTCAGCTTTCTGTCTTTTTGATGAGATTGTTTGCGTGTTTCATTTCCATTGTAATATTTTCAGTGGTGTAATCCACAAACCATCCGTGTAAATAATACTGAAACTGTAAAAACAATAATAAACCGTGGCCTTGGAATGGCGTTTCCAACGTTTCGGTTGGTTGGTGTGTTTTTTGGTTTGTTTGCTTGTGAATTCTGGGAAAATGCGCTCCGCTACTCTTTAACTCCTTTTTTTAACTTGGAAAATCCAAGAGATTCACTCGATCCTTCCTTCCTCCTTCGCTTCCTGTTACACTTTTTGTGAATCAGAAACGATTTTCTCACCGAGTGAGTAGTTTAAATTTAAAATACATCTAGATAGTAAGAAAGGGCTGATGCAACAGAGAAACGGAAAAAGCAAAACTTTTATTTGATTACATTTCTCTGAGTTTCAAGGAAGAGAACGTTTGAACAATAGAAATGTATTATGCATGTCTGCACTCGACCTTTTGAATCCTGCGTAAGAAATAATAACAATAATAAT